TGCAGCGGGGAGATGGTCCTCTGCGCACCGGCCCAGAACGGTAGCGAATGTCCTCCGGGAGCTGGCAGAGAAGCTGCAGCTTTCTGAGGAAACTATGAATTTGCTGCAGGCGCAGTTTTCAGGTACTGCTGGGGGTGTTTGCTAATGCAGAGAGCTTCAGGGTCTCTACTCTCTCGCCCCTGTTTTATGTATTTGTTTGACTTCACGGTATCAGTAATGCCCGTTTGTTGGACTCCTAGGTCCAATGCTATAGCACAAAGGCTTTGCGATTTGTAGATCCAGAATGCAATAACCAATCCTGCAAAGAATTAAAATCTCCCTGAAAAGTTCAATTACTTGAGGCAGGCTACAGTGCTCAGGTCAGACCTGTAACCAAGGCTGTTAAATCAAGCCGTGCCATCGTTCAGCTGATGGATGACTCAAGGATAGAGTATATTTAATTAGGAAAATTTTGTCTTTTGTGCTGTCCAGAAGCGAGCTCTGTTAACAGGAATGTAACCTGAAGAAACCATTTCAAATAGCAGAATCAACTGCAAGTTAATGGCTTCTCTCCTGTTCCATCAATTTTTAAGCAGCACCCAGATGTAAGATGCAGTCTTTACTCAAAAGTGTGGAATGACATTAGATGGGAAAAGACACGTTGGGGACTCAGCCTCCGACAGTGTGATAGAGCACACATGCCCTGGCTGCTGCCTGTCCTTAGGAAGAGGTGAGGCACGGCGATAGTATTGCTGAGCTGTACACTTCACCCCAGACTTAAGGACTGAGTGATTCCAGAGGCCGCCCTGCTGCCTTGTATTCTGCAATGTGTTTGTATTATGCATCCCTCTGTTAAGTTATCAGCTATTTATTTGCTTCACTAAAGCTGACTTCTTGTTTTTTTTAAGCAGATTTGCCTTGTGAGTTGCACAACTGGAAGCAGATGGCAGAATACTCACCAGAAATGAGGCAATTTGCTTGTATTCTCCACCTCTACCATATTAAGGCCTATGATTATCTACGGAAGATTTTTCCCCTCCCTCATCCTTACAGCCTGACAAAGCAAGTTTATATTAATTCTGAATGTATTTCTAGGTACTCATGTAGAAATAGGTGTAACTAAATATAATGTCCTGAAAACATTCAGCAGTAGTAGTTTTTCCCTGCTTGCTTTTAGTAATGGAAGCAGAGTGGGAAGCAAATGTCAAGAAATATTGATACCTCTCATCTCAGAGAGCTGGAATGTGTTCATGCATGTGGGTCACAGCATGAAAATAACACATCCCTCATATTAACAACTTCAGAGTTAGTGTGGGCTTTGCTAAGTATTCCTAGATGAGTACAAATGTGAAAAAAAGCCACAGTTTAGGGCCTCAGCTGCTGTAGGGTCTATATGCATTTTACTGTTCACTGGGGAGAAAGGAGGAATACAAAAAAGCAGAGGTGCTTTACTACAGTGGCACATGCTCGTGTCCTGTGATGTTCAGTGTAGACTTGTGAGAGGGGAAGGATGAGCCAAATAGTGGAAGGAAGGGCAAATACAAGTAAGGTCATCTAAAAAGAAACAGCAGGAGGCAGTGTTAAGGGGGCACCTGCAGTACTCCACCAACAGCCAAAACTGAGAAGAGATGGGCAGGAGTAAGTGTCAGTAGAGGAAATTAAAACCAACTGGACTATACACGGAAGACTTTGGGACTGTTTTCTGGAAAACGGAGAAGTCAAGAAGGGAACATGAGAAAGTATAGGATTGCATAAAGCAGTTAGACTAGAGCTTTGGTTTATCTTGCCTTGCCCCACAAGGACTCTGGGAAGTTAGTGAATCTTGACAAGTGTCTGTTTCAAAATTATAGAAGGGAGATATTTCTATATCACTTAACTCAGTTGCATAATCCATGTAGGCTCAGAATTTACCACCTGAAGTGCTATCAGACCTGTTAACAAGGAATGAAGTTGTAACAGCACACAAAACAAAAGCAGGTTTTGACTCTCAAACTCCTGTAGCGCTGTTGGAGGATGCCTAGAGACACACATTGTCTATACCAGCCTGTGGGGGGTTTCACACAGCTTCCTCCAAAGAATCTGCTCAAAGGGGTGCTAAGAGGTAGTGGACAGAGAGTGTATTGAGGAGAGTAGTGTTCCATATGCACTGCCAAGGCTTTCGCATCTTCCAAACTGGATTAAGATGTACAATGTGGAGAAAGCCAAACAGTTCTGTGTTTGATTTTTTTTTTCCCCCCATTGTCCTGATCTATACATTGGAGAGGCAGGAAGCTGCTTTGTTACTTCCCTCCATGGTCAGTACTTTTGCTTGGCTTCCCATCATGAGGGTGTGAGAAAAGAAACTCAGACTATATATTGAGAGAGGCAGAGCTCTTTGCTTTATACTGTCTTAGTCTGCTCTACAGCTCTGGACAGGGCTGACCATGTCCTAAGTGGTAAAAGGTGATGACTGTTGCTTCAGTTGTCTCAGAATCACACCTGATCGCATCCTCCCTTTTTTTCCAGTTGGCTGTCTAATAATGAAGCTGCTGCAGGCTTCAGCAACGACATTTTTCTCCGCCTTCAGGAAAAGGTGGAGAGAGGGGAACAGGCCTACTGCTACTGTGCCCTGATGGTACAAGACATGTCCCTGCAGAAGAAGCAGGAGTGGGACTCACAGACCCAGCGCCTGACAGGCTTTGTTGACTTGGGAACAGGCGTCCTTGATGCTGATGAAGCTCCACTGGCCTCAGAAGCGATAATCCTCATGGCAGTTGGCATCGCAAGTCCCTGGACAGCTCCACTTGGCTACTTCTTTGTGAACAGCACGACCGGCCAGTTACTTGCTCAGCTGCTTCGTCAGACCATCAATAAGCTGAACAACATTGGCATCAGAGTGCTGTCTGTGACATCAGGCACGACTGCTCGTGGTGCTGAGACTGCCAGAGCTCTGGGGATCAGGATAGATCCTGAAAGGATTCAGTGCACTTTCCAACATCCGCCTGGCTCTGCTCACAGCATCACATACTTGTTTGACATTTGCCATGCACTCCAGCTGATAAGGAATGCTCTGCAGTGCTTCCAGAACATAGGGTGTCTCAGTGACACCGTGCGGTGGCAGCATGTGGTGGAGCTGGCGGCTTTGCAGGAGCAGAGAGTATTAGAGCTATGCAGTCCCAAGTCAGGCAGACCTGGGAATGAGGAGAGTTACCACTTAAAGGTCAACCTTGCCACTCTGTTGTTCAGTGAGGGTGTTGCTGATGCACTGGAACACCTCCAGAAGCTGGGCCTGGCCTCATTCCAGAACTGCAGTGGTACTGTCAAGTTTGTGCGTTTGATGAGCCATCTATGCGACATATTTCATGGCAGAGGTCCCTATAGAAGGGGACTGAAGGGGCCTTTGGCAGCTGGAAATTACATCAAAATAAGCCACCTCTTTAATGAGGCCAAGAACTTCTTTGTCACCTTAACAGACTCTATGGGGAGATGCATTATTAAAAGCAAACGCAGACTAGGATTTCTGAGTTTCTTGCTCAATGCTGAAAGCCTCAAGTGGCTTTACACCAACTATGTGTGTCCAGAAGACACTCCTTCGCACCACCTCCTGACTTACACCTTTAGCCTTGACCCGCTGGAGCTGTTTCTCAGGGCCCTCCAGCAAGCCTGTGGCAGCAGCGGGAGCCCCACCTGCACTATGTTCCAGGCTGCATATCACAAACTGCTGGCCAGCTGCAGCCTGGTGCCAGGCTCACCACACAGCGGTGGCTCAAGCAATACGAGCTCCTTGGACATATCCTTGTCTCGCAGGAGAGATCTGACTCTTGGCAGCATTCGTGCTCAATATAACCCAGCTTGTGGGAGGACAGTGGCAACAGAGTACCCCTATTGTGCAGGCTTTCTTTTGCATGGCTCTGCACTGAGTAATGCACTGACAGACCTATCACTGCATGCACGGAGTGTCACCTGCACCGCAGGCTTTGTTGCTGAGCAGTTAGCCTCTGACTTGCAATGTGAGGCTTGTCTTGCTTCCCTCTTTGAGTCAGATGACAGCAGGCTAAAACACGGGTCGGTGCTCTATATAAAAAAGTTAGGTGGAGTGAGTCTGCCCTCGGCAAGTGTGTACCGCATAACAAGCATTTCAGAACAAGTCCTAAACCGGTATGGCAAAGTAGGATATGGCAACAAAACCACCAAGCTATGGCATTTGTCTTTAGAACTGAAAGTCTTCCAGGAGCTTCTGGGAGAAAGTCCCCTCTTCCCCACCCTCACAAACCATTTATTTGATGGGGAGTTGTGCATCGACAATCACTATACAGTTTTAGTGAAGGAAATAACACAATGTTACTTAAACATCAGAACAAACCATGCCAAACACCTGAACTTCAAATACCATTGTGGAAGGCACAGATTGAAGAGACTGAAAGGAAAACATTTATTTCCATCACCACCAGGTAGCTGTCAGTCAAGCCAAACCCACATGGGGTCATGAGTACTCATTGCTGTTCCAAGGATGGCCATCCCCTACTGAGGCTCAGTGATGGCCAGATCTAGGCAATACACGTGAGTCAATAATGCGGTGTCTCCCCATGATTTGGCCAGCAAAACTGGTGATGTGTTGGGCCACTGCAAACCAGAGTTTGGCTGAGCAAAGCAAGGAAGTACATGTGATCATATGCTCCATCTAGCAATCCTGTAAAGGCACTACATGTTTCATAAGACTCAGAGTGAGCAATGGTTGCTCAAGATGCCTGGGAAACTGACTGACAGGGGAATCTGCAGAGTGTCCCCTGGAGGTGCTGTGTGGCTTAGTGCTGCAAGTGCTCTTGATAGAAGATGCATCAGTTTTCTCTTATGTGGTTGGGGGGCATCATGTTGCTGACAATTTGATTTCACCAAAGCAGATCTGCTTTAAAAGAACTGGAAGCAAAGCTTGCAGAGCTTTTACTTAAAAAGGAAAATAAAGGCGTGAAAAGAAAATGGAACTCAAGTTGTACCAAGTTCTAATCTCCATTGCTACATGTCTCATCAAACAGCTAAACAAGCTAAGTCTAGAGCCCCTGGAGGAGGGACTACAATGTCAAACTGTGTCCCTGAAGCCCCATGTTTTACAAATCAGGTAGTGGATACTAAGCAGAAAGGCTGTTGCCCATGAAGGTGGGAGGGCAGCACTGAGGCTATGACCAGGCTGTTGTGCCCAGCAGCACCCAGGGGCCCAGAGGAGGATGTCAGTGCAGGAGCCCCAGGCACCAGCATATGGGTGTGCTTCAGTAGGACGAGCATTCCAGGTCTCGTAACATGGCCCCATCAGGTCACCCCCTCAACTGTGCCACATGGCCCCATCCTCCCAGAGCCAGTGTGTTTCCTGCAGCCCAGGGCACAAGTCACTCTCCTTTTCAGATGTTATTTCCACTGATTACTTGAATCACAGATTTGATGCCGCCAAGTAAGGCAGGCTTCTTCAGTCAGTTCATTTCCGTGGCAAGGAAGCTGCCTTGGTATGCAGTGCTTTACCTAGAATAGCAAAGTTTGGCATAACTGCTTCTAAATGACTTCCCTTTGCCACACAGAACAGCAGTTGCAACTGTAGAGATGGAAGGCAACTATTTCCCAGAAAACTCTGGCTGTTCAGTTACTTTTGAGCTGCACTTTGGAGATGGGATAAAAAAAAAAGGTGTCCCAGGGCAGGAATAATATTCAAGGCACCGTTCTGCCTACCAGTGACTTGACAAAACGGTTCCTGGTCGGTTTGGGTTCTTCTTCCTCCCCTTAGTCCTACTCATGGTGGGAACAGAGCTGCTGCACTCAATTCCTCAAGCTCTGCTTTGAGAGCAGCAGCACCACAGAACTTCATGCATTCTCTGCAGGGAGTAGCAAACCAAAACCTCTATAAGCCTTTTTTCCCAGTCCAATTACCTATGCAAAAAGCCATGTTGACGTTCTCACTGCCACAGAGCCATTCCAGCTACAAGAAATCATAGAAATTATAAAATGGTTTGGGTTGGAAGGGACC